AATCCAATGTTTCCAACGGCATCCTTCTTCAAGATGAAGCAGTCATCATAGGCCCGGACACTATTGTAGAGGCTATCGAACACAGTTCGCCTCATCTGGATCAACGGCAGAAATAGTGCTCGAATAGCACATCGGGAACAAAGTAGTAGTCCATCGACATCATATGCCCCGTGCCCTATTCTGATTCATCACTCTATGTCCCTTGGTTGATCCCTTGAAATTGAGAGCATGCGCCTCCGCACATTGGGCATCATCAATAACGCGAGCATCATTGTTGTTTCATCCTTGTATTCGTCCTCATTTGACAAGGACATATAAATGAACTCGGAGTAGAACTACTCATCGTCCGAATCCATTGTGTTTGCTTCAAAGTAAACAACAAACAGTAAAATAAAAATGGCTATGGCATTTGGCCGAACACTTGTCGGACATGGTGTCCGCCATGGACACAAATGTGCAGGGACGAAGGGTACCTGGCGGCGGAACCAGCGGTGGAAGGGAGGCATAGGCATCCGAGTGTAGCGGCGGAGGACCGACGAGGGCTGGGCGGTACAGCAACGGCGGTGGTCTCAGACTATGCGGATACAGTGCAAGCAGAGGGACGGAGTGAGAATAGCAAGGCTCCGAGTGGGGTTTTTTTGGGGGGAGGGGGGAAGGTCGGAGGGCTACATGGCGGAGGACCGGACGCCCGCAAACCTCCCCCAAGGGCCCCAACTTTGCTTCCAATTTGTGGGATTTCGGACGTCTGGACCATGCTGTGGACATTTGGTGCATGGCATTGGCCTAACGTGTCCAAACAGCGCGGTTCGGACATTTGCGGGCGTTTTGATGCATGGCGTTGGAGATGCCCTTAGGGCTACCAGAAAGAGAACCAGGACAGTTGTTGCTGCCTGTTGATGTCCCTCAAGCAGCTCAAGCCAAAGAAGATATAGATTTGGCAAACCTAGTGACTGAGGCTCCATTGTATGTTGTGCCTCCATCACACTTATTTGTTAGTCGAGGACTAAGATGGCTGCTACTTTTGTTCATGCTAATAGAGGAACAGGAAGAGGTAGATCATGAAGGAGTGTTGGTCTAGCAAAAACGCAAAATCTAAAGAATGGCTTGTTGCAGAAGCTAAAGAAAGACAAAGGCTGGCAGCTATTCAAGATGCCTTGCTGCAAGGTCAACCCATTACTACCAGTGCTAAAAAAATTCATAGAGAATGTACTTGTTGAACCAAGCTCAAGTCACTCAGTCCAAGATACAGTGCCTACAGAAGCTCAGCTAGAGGATGTGGCTCAAGTCACTCAGTCCAAGATACAGTGCCTACAGAAGCTCAGGTAGAGGATGTGGCACAAAGTTCTCCAATCACAAACACTGCTTTAGATAGTTTGACTGCACAAGATGCAAGTAAGCCCACTGCTCAAGATGATGTACATGAGCCAAGTGCTCAAGAGCATGTGGAGGACCAAGAAATTCAAAGTGATACTCAGGGTGCTTTTTTACTTCAAGCCCCTGTTTCTGAAGAGGCTCCTAGTTCTCAAGCCACTTTGTATCTGAGCCTAGTGGTCAAGATGCTCCTCAAGTTTCTATTGATGAGGAAGCAATAGCATGTGGAGAACCTAGTGTTCAAGATGCTCCTTAAGTTTCTATTGATGAGGAAGCAACATCAGCAGCTAAAGAATCTGAAGACTTGAGGATGTCTGGTACTTTGAGGAAATTCTTAACCAACATTAACCCTCAACTCAAGCTCAGATTGGTGCTGATGAAGAGCTTGCCAGAAAACTTTCAGAAGATATGGAACTTAGACAATAACCTGAGGACTTATGGATATTTAGGACTTCTCTTTGGCGATCCTTTGCAGCTCCTGCCGCCGCTGCATCCCAGGTCGGGACGCCCCACTGCTGCACGTGCTCCCGTTTCGGCCGCCCTCTGGATCGAGCTGTCTAACGCTCCAGATCGAGGCTCTCCGTCCGCTCCTCAAACAATTTTCTGGATCGGTTTGGTCCTCGATTGATCCCGTCTCGCACATGCGTCGTTCCTCGGTGCTTGGTGCTCGCGCGCTTGAAGGTGATGGTTGTCGCTTTACTTCGACACCTTTTGCGACTTCCACCGGTGCTGCTGGCCGCTCTACGTCGACTCCTCTCACGATTTCCACAAGTGGCGGTGACCGCTCTACGTCGACTCCTCTCGTGGCTTCCACGCGCGGCGGTGACCGCTCTACGTCGATTCCCCCTATGGCTTCCACATAGGACTCTCAATCGACTCTACATGCGGCTTCCACGGGTGGTGGTGACTGCTCATCATCGGCAGGTGTTTCTACCTCGACCTCTTCCGTTGTGTCCCCGTCTGCGCGTGAGATTGCGCAGATGCGATGTCTGCTTGTTGCTTGGGATTCTTCACCGACAGGTTCTGCAGGTTTCGTAACTGACTCTTCCAGCACCGAGAAACCACCTTCTACTCGTTCAGGTACATCCCCATGGATTTTTGATACTGGAGCATCTTTTCATATGACTAATGATTCTTCCACTTTGACCTCCATTCGACCTATCGAGTCTCTTGTTCGTGTTCTTACGGCTGATGGCACTCCCCTCCTTGTAGCTAGTCGAGGCACTCTTAGCACTTCTTCATTTCATGTTCCCTCTATCGCTCATGTTCCTCGACTTACAATGCAGCTCATATCTGGTGGTCAGATTGTTGACTCTAGTTGTAGGGTCATTCTCGACATTGATTCCTGTTCTGTTCAAGATCGTCGCACAGGTGCTCTGCTTGGTGCTGGCCCTTGACGCTCTGATGGTCTCTGGGAGCTTGACTGCCTTCGTATTCCCTCTGCTGCCACCGCCACCAGTCTCGCAGCCCCTGTTGCTGCATCTACCAGCTCTTTTCAGCACTGGCATCATCGTCTTGGCCATTTATGTAGTTCTCGTCTCTCAACTTCGGTTCATCACGGTGTTTTGGGGTCTGTCTCAGGTAACGCTTGGTTGGATTGTCTGGGTTGTAGGCTTGGTAAGCACATTCAACTACCCTATCATCACAGTGGGTCAGTGTCCCAACGCCCTTTTGATCTCGTTCACTATGATGTTCGGGGTCCAGCTCCCTTCGCTTCAAAGGGGGTCATCGCTACTATATCATCTTTATAGACGATTTTTCTCGATACACTTGGATCTATACACACAAAAATTGTTGCCATGGTTCATACCCAATATTCCACTCGTGTTTTTCGCGCAAATTCAGCTGGTGAGTACATCTCCCATGCGTTGCGAGGATTCCTTGTTGAGCAAGGTACTCTTACTCAGTTCTCTTGCCCTGATGCTCATGCTCAAAATGGTGTGGCTGAGCGCAAGTATCGTCATCTTCTTGAGACGGCATGTGTGATGATGAACGCCGCCTCTCTTCCGCCTCACTTCAGGGCTGAGGTTGTTACCACTTCCACCTCTCTCATCAACATTCAGCCATCTGCTGCTCTACAGGGTGGTATTCCTCTCGGGCGTCTTTCTGATCATTCTCCTGATTATTCAGTGCTTCGTTTGTTTGGTTGCGTTTGCTATGTTTTGCTTGCCCCTCTTGAACACACCAAACTGAGCGCTTAATCTGTTGAGTGTGTCTTTCTCGGATACAGTGATGGGCATAACGGCTATATTGTTGGGATCCTGTCGGTCGCCGGATGCGTATTTCCCGGGATGTGACCTTTGACGAGTCTCGTCCCTTCTACCCGCGTCCATCCTCCTTGGCCTTTTCCATGGACATCTCTTTCCTTACGTTTCCAGATACACCTCCCTCTGTGCCCGGTATTCCTACTCCTCGTCCCGCTGTCGTAGATCCGACGTCATTCTCTCCTACGGTTTCTTCTCCTCCCTCATCGCATGACTTTCCACCTTCACTGATACATTCCCCATCTCCACCTCCAGTGATTCCACCTCTTCCCTCCTTTCCTTTCCATTATACTCGTCGTCCACGTGTTGTGGGTGAGTCTACTGATGTGCCCTCTACTTCTGGTGTGTCGTCTTCCTCCTCTCAGCCGACTTATGGTCTTCGTTCTCGGCCTTGTCCCCCCCTGACCGATATTCTCCTTCTCACTATGGTCTTTTGACCGTTCTTGAGCCCACTTCTTATCGAGATGCTGTTGTTAATCCTGAATGGCAGTTTACGATGGCAGAGGAGATTGCTGCCCTTGAGCGCACCGGCACGTGGGATCTGGTTTCTCTTCCTCCCCATATTTGTCCCGTCACTTGTAAGTGGGTCTATAAGATTAAGACTCGCTCTAATAGTTCTCTTGAGCGTTATAAAACTCGTCTTGTGGCTCATGGCTTTCAGCAGGAGCATGGTCATGATTACGGTGAGACTTTTGCTCCTGTAGCCCATATGACCACCGTCCGCACACTTCTTGTTGTGGCCTCTGTTCACCACTGGTTCGTTTCTCAGCTTGATGTTAAGAATGCCTTTCTCAATGGTGAGTTGCACGAGGAAGTTTATATGCAACCACCACCTGGGTATTCAGTTCATGATGGCATGATTTGTCGTCTTCGTCGCTCTCTCTATGGCCTTTAAGCAAGCCCCCTGCGCTTGGTTTGAGTGTTTTGCCTCTGTGGTCACTGCAGCTGGTTTTTCGCCCAGTGCTCATGATCCAACGCTGTTTGTCCACCTTTCTGCTCGTGGCCGCACTCTTCTTCTATACGTCGATGACATGATCATCATTGGCGATGATTCTGAGTACCTTGCCTTTGTCAAGGCCCGACTCGGTGAGAAGTTTCTCATGTCTGATCTTGGTCCTCTTTGTTACTTTCTTGGGATTGAGGTTTCCTCCACCTCTGATGGCTTTTTTATTTCCCAAGGAAAGTGTACCCAGGATCTTCTTGCTCGTGCGGCTCTTAGTGATGAGCGTACTCTTGAGACTCCTATGGACATGGATTTCCCGAATATACAACACATAAACTAGAATAACAAGGACATGGATTTTTTACATGAAATAGTAATTATGGTAAGAAAAGAAAACAAATTCACTATGAGAATTTAAGACTTACAAATGGTTCTATTGCAACCATCTTATTCTTATCTGAATCAAGTCATCCCTACAAAGTAAAAAGTGCACGGTTTCAAGGAAATAGCACTTGTAACTAGATAATTTTACTCATGAAACATATAATTACGATCAGAAAATATCAAATAGGAACAAACTAAATACTAACCTGATGCTCTTGTAGTTTGACACTCAAAGTTTCCATTGTCTTCGTGTAAAATAATCTGCCATTAGAAAGTAATCGATTAGTCTATCTTACAATTCAGAACTCACAGCATGATCCTTTTTAGAGGTCACAGATGTACCTTTTCTGGCCGAGTTTTGCAGATGTACTTGTGATTTCCAGCTGGAGGAGGTCTAACGTCTATGTAGGATGGCAAAGATTGTAATCGAAAGCATGCATGCGGGAAAAAAATCTAGGATGAACTATGATGTTGCAACTTGCAAGATAACTAAACTCTTGAGTATATATCTCTGGACACCACGAACAAAGGGTGGGAATTGAACATTTGTGGAAAAGAAAGAAAATGCAAGAATATAAGATTCCACATAATAGAAGGATGGTCAAATTTCTGATTAACAAAGGTCTCTTCAAAGAACACCTTTATAAAGTAACACATGTCTAATATACAGTTTGTGTTTAGTCCAAATGAAACAAATCTTAAATTTTGGTAAAAGAACACAAAACCAGACGACTTACAGGGCATGAATTTCAATAAAAGCGATACGATAGGAACAGTTGCATTTCGTTGAAATAATCAACGTTTTTAAGGCGACGCCTTACCGCCTTAGGGAGGGGGGGGCGCTTTGGCGCCTAGGCGGGCGCTTTGGACGCCTAGGCACCCAAAGCGGTCGATTTTCCAAAGCGGAGGGGGAGCGCTTCGACGCCTAGGCGTCGCCTAGGCGTCGCCTTAAGGACGCTTTAAAAACATAGGAAATAATCAGCAGATATTTATAGCAGTATGTCATGCCAGTGCTTTGTTACCATAGCAGTTCAATGCTCATAACAAATATTAGCATATGCCAACTAACTCCTTGAGATGAAATGGAGCATGGGCCGCATCAAATAAAACGTGGCGAGTATTTTTTTTAAGAACAAGAAATTAACCTGTCAACAAATACAAAGCGAAGTAACATCAAGTATATGCTCGTTTGTATTGAGATAAAGAACAAATCCTTTTGGTCCCAAACAAGTTGGGGTAGGCTAGAGTTGAAACCCATAAGATCTTGAATCCTAGTCATGGTTCTGGCACGTGGATAGCTAACCTCCACATGTTAGAACAGGGTTGAGCTGTGTAGTTATCATATTGTATAGGGGCTTCTTTGCTTATTTCCCTCGCATGTATATGTACAGTTGGCATGTTGGCCCGTTTAATAGAAGCTCACTTCATAACATGGTATAAGAGGTTAGGTTCCTCAACCGCCGCCCTCTCTTCATCAAGCCTCTCCCCTGTTCTTCCTGGCAGACCTGAGCTGATCCTGCTGTTGATAGCCACCACCGTTCTAGGCCGCTGCTTTCGCTGTCCTTCCCGGCCGGCGCCGCCATCGCTACGCCGTCAGCCTCCTAGTTCTTCTTCCCCACCTTGCTGCTTCTCAGGACCAAAAGGAAGTGGTGCCCTGCACCAGACAAGAAAACTGGGTGTTTGATCCTCTGCGCCCTTTGCTGCTGCTCGTCTTGAACGACCTGCTGCTGCTCTTCTCCTCCTGGTCTGCTGCCGCCATGAAGCCCCTGCTAGAATGGCGTCCTCCACCATGTTATGACCGGGCAGACTTATGCCCGTAGGAGGCCCACTGGGCAGGTTTAGTTAGGGGCTTAGCCCGCAAGTTATCTATTTTATTTTCATCGTGGTTATATATACCAGTTGTAAGATTCTTTGAGAATTAAGCAATAAGAATAATTCTATTGCACGGCTCCTCTGGGAGCCGGACCCTAACCCTAGCCGCCTCCTGCTCCTTGCGCCGCTGCCTCCTCCCTCGCGCACGACGGTTGTGCCGTCGACCGCGAGCTCCGCCATGTCCAGCACCCTCCTTCCCCTACAACCTTCGCCCTAAACCCGGTGGGGTCCTAGCTCCTACCAATTTGGTATCAGGTAGCTTGGGTCCGATCATGTCTGCACCACGGCCCACCCCGCCATTGTCCACCCCGCCGCTGCTGTCCACCACCGCCGCATCACCAACCCTCTCCGCCGCACCGTCCGACCTCTCCCGACCTCTCCACCGTGCCGCTCGCTCTCCCCGCAGCGCTGCACGGTTCCACCGCGGGGCGCCTCCACCGGCCAGTCGCCGCCCTTCACCGCGCCGTCTACTCCCCGACGGAGATCACCGGGGTCCTCAACGATCTCGTCACCACCGTCCAAGGGATCCGGCTATATCTGGCCGGCCCCTATGGGCCGCCGCCGCCCTTGCCGCCGGCCGCCGCGACCGGGCCAGCCGCCCTGCCGTGGTACTCGGCACCCGCGGCGCCGGCCGGGCCTCTACACTACCACTGGCCGCTGTCGGCCCCACCGCCGCCCGGGTCCGTCCCGCCTCAGCCGCCGCTGTCGGCCCCACCGCCGCCCAGCACGGGGCCCGGGTCCGCCACGCAGGGGGGCGTACCGATCCAGCAAGTACGCTTTCCGCCGTCGCCATCCCCAATCCCGGCCTGGCTGACCGAATCATCACCGCCGCCCGTCTACACGTCGGCTGGAGACCTGCCGGCGCCCACTCTGCAGTACAACGACCCATTCGGCTCTGCGGGTCACTACACGGGTCGCGCCCATGCTGACCGGGCGCCCCAATCCTCGCTGCTCTGCACCTCCGAGCCAGTCGGCCACGACGCCCTGACCAAGACACAACCGCGGTTCGCCAAAATTGACTTCGCCACTTATGACGGCACGAAGGACCCCCTTAACTAGCTCAACCAGTGTGAGCAGTTCTTTCGCGGGCAGCTCACCCTCGCCTCGGAGCGTACCTGGCTCGCCTCTTACCACCTCCGCGGCGCGGCACAGACATGATATTACGCCCTCGAGCAGGACAAGGGCAGCATGCCCCCTTGGGAGCGCTTCCGCGAGCTCTGCCCCCTTCGTTTTGGGCCACCGATCCGCGGGAGCCGCCTGGCAGAGCTAGGCCGCCTTCCCTTCACCTCCACGGTGCAGGACTTCGCCGCCCGCTTCCAGGCCCTGGCATGCCACGCGTCGGGCGTGACGGCGCAACAGCGGGCCGACCTCTTCGTTGATGGACTTACAGATCACATCCGCGTGGACGTGGTGCTTCGGAGACCCCAGGATCTTCAGACGGCCATGTACTACACCCGCGCCTTCGAGTGTCGCGCCCAGTCCATGCAGCAGGCAGCCCTGGCTCGAGGAGGCCGCCAGGCCGCCAGGCAGCCCCCTGCGCCAGGCCGGCCACTCCCGGCCGCACCGGCGACTACCACCCTGGCCGCGACGCGGCCCTTCCATCGTCTCTCTCAGGCGAAGCAGGTGGAGCCTCGGCGCCAGGGGCTTTGCTATAACTGCGATGAGCCCTACGCGTCGGGCCATGTCTGCCCGCGCCTCTTCTACTTGGAGATGGCCGACTACATCAAGGAGGATGCCCCGGCCGACGGGCTCGACGCGCTACCGCCCTCAGCAGCTACCGAGGCCGCACCCGCGGCCGCCCCGGCGACGGCACTCGTGGTCTCGCTCCATGCGCTTGCCGACATCCGCGACGAGCGGACCATGCTCTTGCTGGTGATGATACACGGCGAGCGCCTGGTGGCCCTCTTGGATACGGGCTCCACACATAACTTCCTGCCCGAGGCTACCATGCGCCGCTTAGCGCTTTAGCCGACGGGCGGGGAGCAACTTCGGGTCACGGTGGCCAACGGCAATCGTCTCCGGTGTCATGGGCTCGCGCCGAACGTGTCCATCACCATCGGCAACGAACACTTCACCATCATGTGCGCAGGCATCGACTTGGGCTGTTTCGACTTCATCCTCGGCGTCGACTTCCTGCGCACCCTCGGTCCCATCCTCTGGGACTTCGACGCCCTGACGATGACCTTCTGGCGTCTCGTCTGCCACGTCCGATGGGAGGGCGTTGGGGGCGCCTCCCCGTCAACACCGCAACTCCAGCTGGTGGCAACCACCACCGAGGCCGAGCACCCACTGTTGGATCACCTCCTGCAGCAGCACGGCGACCTCTTCGACGAGCCCCGAGGCCTCCCGCCAGCTCGGGTGTATGATCACCGCATTCATCTCCTGCCGGGCTCGGCGCCGGTGGCAATCCGGCCATACCGCTATCCGCAGCTGCAGAAGGACGAGTTGGAGCGGTAGTGCGCGCTCATGCTCGCCACGGCCATCATCCGGATCTCCACATCACCATTCTCCACGCCGGTCCTCCTCGTCCGCAAGTCGGACGGCACGTGGCGCTTCTGCATCGACTACCGCGCCCTTAATGCCCTGATGCTTAAGGACAAGTTTCCTATCCCGGTGGTCGATGAGCTCCTGGACGAGCTACATGGGGCGCGCTTCTTCACCAAGCTTGATCTCCGGTCAGGTTACCACCAGGTGCACATGCACCCGAATGATATCGCCAAGACGGCGTTTCGGACTCATCACGGCCACTTCGAGTTCTTGGTCATGCCGTTTGGTCTCTCCAATGCACCGCCGACTTTCAGGCTCTGATGAACGACGTCCTCCGCCCCTACTTGCGTCGGTTTGTACTCGTTTTCTTTGATGATATTCTTATCTACAGCGCCTCATGGGCGGAGCACCTTCAGCACGTCGCCATCGTCTTCAACGAGCTTCGAGCGCATCATCTTCATCCTAAGCGCTCGAAGTGCTCGTTCGGGACGCCTTCCATCGCCTACCTCGGCCACGTCATCTCGGCCGAGGGGGTGGCCATGGACGCCGACAAGGTGGCGGCAGTCGCCGCCTGGCCGACCCCGCATTCACCGCGGGCTCTCTGCGGGTTTCTGGGCCTCGCGGGGTACTACCGAAAATTTATCCGGGAGTTCGGCCTCATCGCATCTCCACTCACACGCCTGCTACGTCGCGACGCCTTTGC